GCAGGAACCGCGTGAGTGGGAGGCCCAGGCGCCCCCCGAAGAGGAGGGCCCCCGGCCCCCAGGACTCTCCCCAGCCCTGCAAGAGGCCGCCCCGCCGGCAGCACTAGCAGCGCTGCAGCAGAGCTTTATTCAAGCCCAAGAAAATAAATTCCTGTTTCCCTGACCTGGTCTCCGGGTGCTGCTTTCTCTCCCTTCTCCTGGTGCCTTTCCCTGCCCCACCCTGTGCCCCAGCGTGGTGGCCCCCACCTGCTGCTGACTGACCACGGGCACTGGACCAGTGGGGAGAGGCTGCAGGGGTCACTCTGTCTATACTCTTAACTCCTTCCCAAGACGCTTCCAGCTCACGGCAGGTGCTTTTGCCAAACCATCGCTGCCTCAGTCACCATCAGGTTAGGCTCTTTTTCAGCATTAATTGTCTCATCCATCTGAAATGAATCTCTTTATGATATCTGTCTTATAAGCAGCGTGGATGCTAGGGCAGTACTCCAGGTCAGCCCACAGTAACATTTCAGAGTAGCAGGATCTCGGGAAAGGGTTTCTAGGGTTTCTGCACACCCATGCCTTTCTCTGGGTTGCGCAGCAGAGGGAGGCAGGGACCCATAATGTGATGAACAGGCCCTTCCCTCGTCCTTGAGAAACCACGGTGAAAACAGGAAAGAGATCACTTTATGAAGGACAGAATATTCTTCCAGGTGATGGGAAAATCTGAGCTCTGTCCTTGTGCAGTGTCTTTGCAGGGCCCCATGGGGAGGCTCAGGGCTGCAACACGCAGCTCCGTGGGCTTGGACGGGGCTGTGGGCTGTCACCTCGTTTGGCCTGCTGGCCTCAGGCAGGGTCAGATCTGCTCGTGGTCTTCTTGAAAGATATTTGTTTAATCCTCTTAAAACGTCCCCACCTCTCCCATAAGCACCCTCTGCCAGTGCTTCATCAGCCTTTACACTGGGAAGTTTTCCCTGAGCTCTAACCCGGAGCATCCCTGCTGCTGTTTCCCACCTTGCAGCCTCCTCGGTGCTGGGCAGAGCTGAGGGGTGGCTGCTCGTGCCTCGGAGGCTCTGCTCCATCTCGGACGCCCCAGGGATCTTTGCTGTCGTTTTATGAGACATGGTGTGCATCCAGCTCTGATTCCCTGCAGCTTGCAGGCCTGTTCCTGCAGGGCTGCTCCCTGGCCAGCTGTTCCCATCCCGTGTCACTGCTTGTTCTGGCCTTGCAGTCACTGTGCTGGGTGTCCCTGGTCGCGTTTCCTGCAGGCAACATCCCTTCAAATCGGTGTGTGCTTTGAAGAATGGAAGTGCTGTCCATCGTACGTGATGATAAAAAAAATCTCGCATGTGGTGAAGCCTTCAAACGTTGTACTGAGCGTTAGTGATACCGTGCAGAATAGCAGTGGGTTTTTTTCTGGACCAGAGCTAAATTTTTACTGCTCTGTCATCTTAGTCCATTTGATTTGGGTCTTGGCTATGCCTTGGTTACAGTTTCTAACCACTGCCTTTGGATACAGTGGCTGCCAAACCCACATCTGCAGGTTCTGAGGGCAGGGACTTTTGTCCTTGGGGTAATACACATTTCAGTGTGTGCTGATGTGCAGGCCCACCATAGGTCTGACTTTTTGTCAACCTCCAGTTGTTTTTGGCAAGAGAAGCCAGTCAAAGATTCCCCATAATTCCAAAGATTCCCCCTAACTGCCTTGCATACACTTTTGGGATCATAAAGAAGATTTTCTGAAAAATCAGAATGTTTTCTGATACCCTCTCACTCAGTCTGTAGTTAGTGTATTTTACTCCCTCCCTCTCAGTGTGTCTGCTTTGCTTGTCAAGGAAAATAGACACCTCAGACTTAAGTTTTCTGTATATTTGATGATATCATCAGTTATTTGGCAGGATTGTTTTTAACCTCCATCTTACTGGAGAAGCTCAGTAATTGGGAAGGAACAGATTTTTCACACTGTGATCCCATCTTATTCTCAGTCCCAGCTCTGCCTCATACAACCTCTGTTCCCTCTCTGCAGACTTATGTCAGCAGTTAAGTACCATTTTGTCAGTGGACTGCAAGTGGCAGGGCCAGTGACACTGTCGGATGGCTGCTCCTTGTTTGTCTTGGTGGCACATCCTTCTGCCTGCAGCCTGGCGAGGGGTGGCCATGTTTGAGAGATTAATCTGAAATCGGTTTCTTAGCACCCTGCAAGGAGGTTTATCCCTGATTTACCAGGAGATTTGGAGACTGGGGTTAACATCTCTTATTTGTTTCGCTCCCTCACTCCCAGAATCTTTGATCTCTGTGTTAGGGATGATTGAAGCTTTAGAAGGATGACTTAATTACGCTTTGCTTGATTTTCTCATCTGTAAGGGAGAGAAGTGATGTATTTCACAGGCATGTTGTGAGGTACCTTGAGAACCTCTCAAAGAAAATGTTACAGGAGAAATACGGATTTTAAGCAAGTATAAACTAAAGTTTGCCAAAGCAGAAGGTTCTTTAACATTCACTATTTTTGTTATGTGGATAAATAATTAAATATCCTTACCAGAATGTGGAAGATGTTGTCGCTTTTGACTCTTACAGCTCTTCTGGATTTTTTTTTTCTACAGCGTTGATTGTGTACTCCATTTTTTTTCCCAAATATTGTCTACCTCTGATTGTGATTCAATTTTCTTACAACAAAATACACATTGTTAGAAGTAGAACACCTTGCAGTCATGCTGTGCATTTCAGTGAGGTTTTAGACATGAAAAGGGCAATAAGTGTGGCCAGAATTCATATTTGTTATATCCCACTGCAAATGTGAATGAAAAAGTGGGCTGCACTTCGTGGTGATCATGACTTAGTCAGAAACTGAGCTCGAGGGATAAGCAGTGTGGTGCGTACAGTTTGATTCAGTAAGTGTAAAAATTTGCTCTTCTCACATATTAAGGGGACCGAAGGTCCATGTATCTTACCAAATTCAGCAACTTAACTGTGAAAGCAACACCTCCTCCCTTGCTTTTACCAAGTCTCAGCTACTTTCTTCGAGGTGGTACAAGCACAGCATGATGAAACCAGTCTCAGGCTGTACATCGACTGGATTTCACACCAGAGTGGTTTATAGCACCAGTTTTTAATGTCCACACTCACCCTCTGGCTGCCTCGGCCTGTTGTTTCTCTTGACACTGAGTTTGGCCGCCAGGCTTTTCCTGAACAGCCGGGCTGCTGATGGGGTTTATCCAAATCTGGGTGTTTCTTTCTCTACGTGCTGAAAGCAGTGGAAGAGGTTCTTGGTGCCGTCTGTGCTCATGGAGCTCCTGCAGGGAAAACATGTCGGACGTGTTTCCACACTCGTGATGGGTGACCCCTGAATTGTATCAGCTTTTAAATTGGGTAGTGTCCATCTTGGGTTGCTCTTCTGCTCCTCATGAAGGGATTATTCAAAGCTTTTGCTCTGTCAGGAAGTTCCAGAATTTATCAGCAAAATTTCTGTATTAAACAAGCCTTGTTTTTGTCAATATGACCAACTGTAGAAAGTAGTATATAGGGCTTTTCTGCCAGCATCACTAATTACTTTTGATAAGTATGTGTCATTAAACTCATAATTTGACAAATCATCAAGCTAGGTTAATAGTAACAATAGTGATTAAAATCTGACTCTTTTCATACAGTCCTTCTCATCCATAGAATTCAAAGCACTTTATAAAGGACAGTAAGGTTTTTTCTGGGGAAATGACTATAGAAAGATTAAATGACTTAAAGACACATTTCATGTAAGAAACTGAGCTTGTCATAGACAGTGACTGTGAGCCAGCACAATGCACTTGCAGCCCAGAAATCCAACCGTGTCCTGAGCTGCATCAAGAGAATTGTGGCCAGCAGGCCAAGGGAGGGGATTCTCTCCCCTGCTCAGCTCCGGTGAGACCCCCCTGAAGTGCTGTGTCCATCTCTGGGCCCCCAGAAGGGGTCCCTCAGCTCAAGAGGGTCCAGAGGAGGCCTCAAAGATACTTGGAGGGCTGGAGCACCCCCCTGTGAGGACAGGCTGAGAGGCGGATTCAGCTGGAGAAGAGAAGGCTCCGGGGAGACCTTAGAGCAGCCTTCCAGGGCTGAAAGGTGCTGCAGGAAAGGGGAGAGTGACTCTTGGTCAGGGGGTAGGGATAGGATAAGGGTAATGATTTTAAACTGAGAGAGGGGAGATTTAGATTAGATCTGAGGAAGTTATTCTTCCCTGTGAGGGTGGTGAGGCCCTGGCACAGGCTGCCCAGAGCAGCTGTGTCTGCCCCCTCCCTGGAAGGGTTCAAGGCCAGGCTGGACGGGGCTTTGGGCAGCCTGGGCTGGTGGAAGGTGTCCCTGCCTGGGGTGGGGGTGGGACTTGGTGATCTTTAAGGTCCCTTCCAACACAAACCATCCTGCACTTCTCTGAAGGGGCAGTGATGGGTTTGCCAGGTCTACTTGTAATTCTGCATCTGGGTCTGTTGTGATCTCCTGGGCTGACTGGAGCTGGGTTTGGTCCCTGCTCTGGCTTCCTCCAATGGCTGGCAGTGGGGCCTCTCGCTGGGTTGGAATGGCGGCGACACTGGAGATTCATGGGTTTGTAAATACTCCGAAAAAAGGCAATACAGGCGATCTCTTGAAACGGCAACCAGATTCTCAGCCAGTGAGGAGCGTTCAAGCCCCTATCATCATGTTTTCCCTGTGTTACTCCATGGGCTTTTCAGGAGAAAGCACAGGCTGTGTGCAGTGAGGATTGCTGCGATTGCTACCAGAGGCACCCCTGGAGAAATGGCTGTAACCTGTTAGTGGAAGGGGTGGCTAGTCATGGCACAAATTGGCTTCATACACAAGAACAACCTACCAAACCTCCAAGCAATTATTCCTCTCATGGGGTGTGTTCTAGCTGATTTGAAAGAAGGGAAAGAAACCACACACAACAGAAACCACCATATGGACTTATCATGTCATGTTTAAGTGTAGGTCGAAGAGGTGAAATTTATCAAAGTAGAGAAGAAACAGGAGGAAAGATGTTGTCTGGGCTTGCTGCTGCATCACCCACGCGCGGGGTAGCTGCGCTGTGTCTGCTGCCAGGCTGCGTGGTGCTGCTGGTGTCTGGGCAGGTTGTGAGCGACCCATCTGTCGACAGCCTTGCAGACGGCATTGTCTTGTGTCCCGCCACGCTCGGCCTGCTCGATGAGGAGACTGAGCTCGGGGATGGAGAGGTCGAGCAGCTCCGTGGACACCCGGTTCACCTCTGCGAAGTGTCAGAGGATGAACGCGTTGGCTGTGTCTCGCAGGTCGGGACAGAAGTAATACCCTGTGAGCCTCCAGATGCTGATGCAGTTTTCCAAGCAGAGCTGGGATTTGAGGAACTCAAATGCCCATGACATTGAACTGGTCTGCTGCGATGAGCAAACTCTCCATGTTGTTGACCGTGACCAGCACTGTCCTGGTGTAGGCATAGTTGATGATGAGGCTCATCATGTCAGGTGAAATGCCGGAGATTTTATATACTGGCTTCTCGGCGCTGTTCCACCTGCTGCTGAAAAAAGCCCTGCAAAACCAAAGCAGCGTGTGTGTGTGTGTGTGTGAAAACCAGCTTTGCTGGGTTAAGCCCAGAGCCCTTGATCCCCTGGGCTGCCTTCCCTGGGCATCAGCGTGGACACCTGCAGTAGCCATGCTGGGAGTCCGGGCAGTGGGTTAGTGCCTGTTTGAGGAGCTGGGGGCTATAAAAAGGAGCCACAGACTTGAGCTGCGGCCAGAAAGCGACAGGGTGAGGGTCCCCTTGCTTCAGCAAGAGCAGCAGCAAGTAAGGGCCTGTGGGGAAGGAAAACCTCCTGGCACCGAGGGCAGGTGAGCCCGGCCAGCCACGCTGCCAGCCCTGCACCGCCTCGGGGCTCATCAGGCACCGCCTTGGAGCTGCTGGTAGGTGCTGGGCTGGGGGTGAGTTCTGGTGCTCAGGGGGGGACCAGGACCACGGGAACTGCTGGGTGAGAGTTTAGTGCTGGTGGAAGCGCTGGAGATACCCCCAGGTGCTGTGAGACAGGCCAGGAAATGCCGTTTGTCCCCATCCCCTCCTGCATCCAGCACGGAAATGAAATAGCCACTGCGGCTACAGAGGATGGTCTCATGAGCCTCGAACTGGACACCGTCCACACTGATGACCATGTCACAGCCCTTCCCCTCCAGGCAGCGATCGCTGAAGCTGGGGGAAACCATCTCCCTCACCTGCTCTCATTGTGTGAGGATGAAGAGCCGGTGGGTGCTGAGCTGTCACCCCTGCTGCAGCCCAAGGCAGTGCCAGGTGCTTCTCCCTGTGGTGCTGCGGAGCGTTGTTGTGGCCCCCCAGCATCACCCTAGAAAACCTGCCCGGTGGTTCTGGAACCACCCCAGTATGATGTCACCCTCTCATGACGTCAAGGACGCGGGGGAGTGGGGCCAGCCGTGAGCCCCTCCGCGGTGATGGGGTCCTGGTCCTGCCGGGCCCTGGCTCCATGGCTGCCCTCGGCCTTTCCTCGACCACAGCCCCGGTGACCCGGGACCTCCATTCCCCCCATTTCTGCCCCATTTCTCCCTTAATCCCTCATGGGTTAAAGCCTCCTGCGTGGAGCCTTCCTGGGGTGGGGTCTGCTGTGCTGGGGGCGTGGCCTGACTCCACCTGCAGCTGTGGGATCTCTCCCCAGTGGGTGGAGCATCTCAGAGGGTGTGGCCTGTTGGTGGGTGGGGCCAGCCCCAGAGTCCCGCCCATTATTATTGAGCTGTGGCTGAGGCGGCCTCTGAGGGGGGTGTGGCTTTCCCCTGTAGGGGTGTGGCCTCTCCAGGGGGTGTGTCCCACCTCGGGGCAGGGCTTTCTCCACTCTCCCTTGCCATAGTGATGAAAAAGGGAGTTCTCTTGAGGATGTGGAGCCTCCCAGTGGGCGTGGCCCCGGAGGGGGCCTATTCAGGAGTGGTGTGGGCGGGTCCAGGGATGCTGCTGTCCAATGAGGCGCTGCTGTTCCATGAGATGTGTGGGGCCCTTGCCAAGCTGAGCAATGGGCACAAGACAGCCAAGCTTGGGGGGGGGGTGTCATGTGGGCTCTTATGGGGGTCTTCGGCAGCATCCCAGGGGTCCTGGGTGGGTCATAGATGGTGTCAAGGGGTGCTGGGAGGGTCTTTAGAGGAGTCCTGGGGGCCCTTGAAAGGATCCTGGGGGTGTTATGGGGGTCCTGGGAGTCCTTAGAAGGGTTCTGGGGGTGTTATGTGCTCCTGAGGGGAACTTAGAGTGGTTCTGGGAGGTCAAATGGGGGTCCTGAGTGCTCCTGGTGTTTCATAGATGTCCTGAGGGGCACCACAGGGGTTCTGGGGGTGTCTTTGTGAATTATAAGGGTCTTAGGAGGTACCCCAGGGTTGGGGGCAGGGCTTGGGGAGAACACTGAGGATTTGAGAGGGCCCTGGGGACATACTGGGTGTCCTGGGGGCCCCACAGGATATTGGGGTTGCTGTAGAGCACACAGGGGGTGCGGATCTTGGCAGCCAGCAGGGGCTCCTGGGATGTTTGGGGGGGGGGGTCCCCTGACACCCCCCCATGACCTGCTCCGGGTCTGTATTGACAGGCTGGTGGACAAGTGGTCAGGCTCCATTGAGATGGGGGTGGCGGCACACAATCCCAACAGCCTCAAATACCCCACCACTGTGACCAACCTCCACTCCAGTGGCCCCCCCAGACACCTGGGTCCCCTTAGAGTGGGGCTGGGGACTCCCCAGGTGCCTGGTTCCTCCCAAGACACCCCCTCTGACATTCTGTGTGTGTGTCCCCGGCACCATCATGACGAGTGGCTGCAGGATCCTGGCCAATGGGCAGTTGAACTCAAGTTCATCCTCGATGAGCTGCAGGCTTTAGTCCCCTGCCATTTACAATCCACACCACCCTCGGCTGGTGTGTGGCCCAGGAGAGGGGTTGGAATCACACCAAGCACCAGGTGGCTCAGTAAGCAGGGGGGAATTACCACAGCTGCTTCTCCCCTCTTGTACAGACTGATGAGGGCAAAGCCCGCCCATCTTGTTCAACAGTTACTATAATGTTCACAGTCATGTTCTTGGAGAGGCTTGGAAAAAAACATGCCTGAGTTAAGGCCGAGCACACAAGCATTTCCATAGCAGTTTTAGATAGGAGCAGGTACCCTGAACGTATTATTATATTGGATAAGAAAAGGGGATCCTGTGTTCATGGAGGTTCTGGGAATGCCACAGCATGGCCTGGAAACACGAAGGAACGATGGTCATTGGCACTAGGAGTCAGCAGGGGTCCAGCAGGAGAAAGCCTGGTCGCCCCACCTAATAATCTTCCCTGGTGAAATGACCGGCTGGGGAGATGGGAGGTGTGTGGTGGCCACTGTCCACCCCGTCGTGAGGAAGGCTTTCCGCAGCGTTTGCCAGAACAGCCCTGTGGAGACGCTGAAGCAGCGTGGGCTGGCTGAGGAGAGGGGGAGGTGGGTAGAAAGTGGCTGAAGAGCCAAGCCCAGGGGGTGGTGAGCAGCGGCACCAAGTCCAGCTGGATCCAGCAGGGAAGCCCAAGGCAAGAGGCATTGCCAGCAGGTGGAGAGAGGGGGGGTCCTTCCCTCTGCTCCGTCCTGCGCTGGGCTCCCCAGGGCAGGAGAGGAGGGGCCATGCTGGAGAGAACCCCAGGCCCCTCCACTGTCCACTGGGGGTCGGGCTGTTGGTCAGTTGGAGCCGACAGCCCCCAGCGCCGGCAGCAGCACAACTGGTATCCCAAAACTCAAGATGCATGCGAGCTTATTAAAATTTGATCTTTTTTTTTTTTGGTAAGTCTTCCTTATTTGCAACTTCACCATTGTTTCATAACCACCAAGGTATAGAAAACACAGAATTTAACTTACTCACCTTCTTCGTGCACAAACATCTTTCTATATAGACATACCTACATGTCAGTCTTGATGCTAGGTTTTGCATAGTCATGCACTGAAACAGAGCTGTAAGTGAACCAGTGCTGACACAGACAGCTTGTCCTAAAAACAAAAAGCACTTAATTTGTTGAGCCTCTTCGCCTTGAAAAGCATCCTGGCATACAGCAAAGAGACTAAAATACGAACATGTATCTTCACCACTCCAGTGCAGCAACCAGAGGAGTAAGTGGCATGCTGTCTCTGCAGATGGCTTTATTTAGAGACCCCAGGGGCAGCGAGAGCGCCCGACTATGTAAAATGTTCCAGCAAAGCCATTAGAAGCAGCTGGCAAAGTAATTGTAAGTTTAATGCCCACTATTGAAAGGACCTGTATTTTTAAGAGATTTATCTTAATTCCTCTTAAAACCTTTAACTCACAGCTACATCTCCAGTTCCAGTCTTTACCAGCATAAGCCGTATATTTCCAGGAATCACTACTGCCGCTTCTTTTCTATTTAATATGGGGTTGTTCCTGCAAGATGGGTTTTGTACACTATCTAGGAGAGAAAACCACACTGCTCACGTGCACTGACAAATGTAAGAAAAAGAAGCTGCAAAGAAGTGATAAAGTCTTGCTTTAGCATTTCAGGCTTTTCTTCAGCTAATACCCTAAAAATGACCCATTTTGAGGGCAAAGTCTCCCAGTGGGAAGCATACTCGATTCACAGTGTCATGCCCACAGCTGGGTTTGGGCTCTAGTTCCTGGCCTTTGACTTATTACTCATTTACTATGACTATCCATGAGACTCTTGCCTTGGATTTACTATATATTTTCAGAGTCACAGAATCAACTAGGTTGGAAAAGCCCTTGAAGATCATCCAGTCCAACCATTAACCTAGCACTGACAGTTCCCAACTACACCAGATCCCTCAGGGCTAAGTCGCTATTTTGCATCAAACAGTAACTGGGTAAAGGCAAATATAATTCCGGGAGCAAGGAACAGGACCCAGCACTCTCCTCCACACGGACTGCTCTGCTCTTTGGGTGGCAGGAGCTGCTCACACATGCTCTCCCTCTGCTCATGTCTCCTACTCTCCAGTACCATGAGGTCTGCAGTCAGTGGAGGAAGCTGAGGATGCTCCGCGGGTCACAGTGGTTCAGGAACTCTTAGGTCTAAGGAGGGCACTGAACTTGGAAATTTCCCCCAAGCTCTAACTGCTCAGCTGTGACACAAAACAGGGGGGTAGCACTAGTAGAGGCCATATTTCAAAGGAATGAAACGTGCAGGTTGCCTGCACTGACAGAGAAGGTCTGGCTCCAGTTCAGAGTGAAGCCGAGGGACGCATGTGGGCACACCCAGGACGACAAGTAGGTGCCCAGTCTAGGAGACAGGCACTCCTCTGCATCTCCTGGGGATAGGATGGGGTGTGCTCCTGCCTGGCATGCTCTCTGCTGTGGATCTCAGATTGCAGCACCCAACCGCCCCCTCTTATTTTCAATACTCTTCAGCCATCAAGCGCTGCGGCAGGAGCTGTGCTCCCAGAATGACGATGAGAAATGGAGCACAGCAATGCCCGGCATCGCCAACCCTGAGGGTACCAACAGGCAGCCCCTCCCCGTCCCTCCGCTCTGCCCGGTGAAGCCGTCGCTCCCCACTCATGGGCAGATGCGCCCCCACCGCCTGCCTGTGCTCCCTCATCAGACAGAGTGGTTAATCACAGCTCAGCAGGTTGCACGGCATGGTAAGAGCAGGGAACTCGGCCAGCTGGCAAAGATGCCGTCAGGTCAGATGTGGAGCAAAACTTCCAGTGTGAGTCTCCGTCAGTGGTTCAAACCTGCTGGGTGAGGAGACTTCCAGCTCAAAATGAGACCGACAACTTCGGCAAAGAACTGCAGTGTGGATCCTGCTTCCCTACTTTAGATCTAAACTTGATTTTACTCTTGCCCCTCAGTTCATACTGCTGGTTGTCTGATCTAAACTAATTCTTTATCTTGATTTTTGCTCATCTAGCTTGCTTACTCTTCTCACTTTGGAAGAAGGTTTGTTATCAAATAGTCAAAATTTAGTTCATGAAGCAGTTTTCTGATCCCATCTAAGTACTGTTGTTTTGGTAGTAATGGGAACTGCATTAATGCAAATTATATATGCAGATCCCAAAATAAATACAGAATGTGACTTGTGTTTGCTGTGAAATCAATGATTCAAGCTCTTCTCTAAACACAGACACTACAAACTAATTCCCGAGAGTGGCTGAGAGCCGTCATGTAGATTCTGTATATCACGACTCTCTGAGCTTGGGTGTTTCTTAATTGTTTTCAATTCATGGATTTATAGAGCAGCCACAGGCAGATGTTGAAACAGACAAAGACCATTACAAGAATTTTTGTTTCCTGCTTTATAGACCTTTAGAAGATTCTTCATACAGGAATCAGCTCAACCTAAATATTTTTCTGTGCTTCTATATGCAGTTTGAGCTGTTCTAACACCACCTTAAAACTGGTAGCCATCAATTGTCTCTCCTCAGCCTGAAATGACCTTTGTCAGGGGGAACGGATGTTCACAGAGTAGAAGAGAACAGACTGGGCAACATATCTTCCTCTTCAAAAAAAAAAAAAAAAAAGGCTCTTTCAATAAGAGGTGGAAAGATGCTACTTTGCTACACTATCAGGAACATTGAAACTGGAGGTTCAAGAAACAGTCATATAACATGATACTCAACCTGCATAAGAGCTTTAGAAAACAGATGTGTAAATCCACCTACAGACTTCTCTTACTCAGAACAGACACTTATCTTTTCTAAGGAAGCATGTAACGTCACCTCAGAAGATTTTTCCTATACCTGGCACTACTGTGTGTTCTGCTTGAAGAGAAATGGATGGCAATATATTTCAAGCGCCTTAGGGAAGCAATGTACACCTTGCAGTGGCTGGAGACTGGATTTATGAACAGATGCCAGACCCACGTCTCCAAAGGGAGCATTTTGGAAGCAGCACTCCCCCTGTCTGCCACCTCACTTTGGCAGACCCTGTCCCAATCAGCATAGCTTCTCAGCTGTGGAAAACACTTGTTCCTGGGCTTGCCCTAGGAGCAGGCTGGCTTTAAAAGTGCTTAACAGCTCGACGCCTGGCTCCTCTCCAGGGACTGGGGTGAGTGTTTCACACTACACCAAGGGCATCAGGGTCCATGCAGAAGCAGCCCAAGGAAAGCTCCCTTCTGCTGTCTGCTTCACTGGGGAAGGGATCCACCTGGGATTTGCAGGACCACATTTAACTCTGAACTGAGAGGAGGCTGCACATCATCTCCCCATCGTACTACCTGGGACACGCATCCAGCAGTAAGAAGTGGAGGAAGAAACGGGGTTCCCAGCCTCTCAGCTTATTGTGGCCCTCTCCAGCTCCTCCTTAAGTCCACCCCCTTTAGGACACCTGCCTGTTGTCACTACCCGCTGCTACATGGTGGGATCCCAACAGGCCTGAATTTCCCACAGCTCCCACCTCCATCAGGAGACCCCCTACCCAACCCCTGCAGCCAACACACCTGAGAAAACTAAGTTCTACAATCTAAAGTTTTGGGCAAAGACGATTTAGCTGCTTGTCCAGATGCTGGTTTCTGGTTTATTTTCTTCATTGTGGTTTATTTATTGGAACAGGGACTGGACATGCATTTCTCCCTTCTCCTAGCTGTGGCAACTGAGACACAGACTCTCCATGAAGTGCAAAAGGAAAGACCCTTTATTATTACAATAGGACATATTTATGCTATGGTTAAAGCTTTTACTTCACAATTAGCAAATCAGCAATTCGACAGCTCTCAGCCTTTTCTCCTATCAGCACAGGACCACTCTCACAGGGGCTGTGCAGACCAATCGCCTGCTCACTCAGGCGCTGTTCACGCAGCAGTAACTTCCCACAGTTCAGGATTTTCCCACAGCTAAGTGTTGTCGCTGTCTGTTGTTTTTCCCTGACACCCTGGCACAACTCAGCAGTTTCTGATTTTTCTCCCAAGGCCTGTTTCTCATCAAAGCCTTGCTGCTTCTCAGGGGCTGCGCAGAGGTGACAGGCCGATGTCGACTTGCCTCTCTCCCACACCTAGCTAAAATTGTAAAGGAATAAAAAAAGGTTCCTTTGAGCACATAATACCATAGAACGGGACTGTCAAGTCTGGTTTATGTCTATTCTGCCTGCTACATTGCTATATGCACATATGAGAAAGAAAAAATAACACAAACCTCTCTCAGTGGGGTCAATTAGAAGAGTCGCTCTCACTAGCAAAGTGCAAGGCCGAGTCAAAGAGCTCGGCCAAGACCTGCTCATCAAATGCCACGGTGCCGATGGCACGGAGGGCTCCTCTGGGCCTGCAGCGGTGGTGTCTGCTGGCCTTCACACGATTCCTGCCAAGAGAATGCCACCTGTCAAACATTCAGACTTCAGCTGCCACTTCTCTGACCTGGAAGAACAACTCAAACAACAGAATGACCGAGGACATGAGTCTATGCAGCATCTGGGGTCCCTCTAGCCTCTACTTCTGCAAAGAGCATTCCCAGGAGGAAGTGCTGGAGAGCAGGCGTGCATTCAGCCTAGGCAGCAGCAAAACCCCCACAGGCTGAAGGGGAACTTCCTCCTCGAGGTACTGGCTTTCTTTACGTTAGATCTGAAAAGCAAGTGTCTTGCGAGTGGCCAGACTAAGCCTTTCCTGCTGTCTCAGCATGCCCTGATCTCCAGACACATGGCTTTATTGGGACTGCAAATAAAGATGACAGTTAGCATGGGGCAAGCAGAAAGTGCTCCAGAATTTTCTGCACTTTCCAGCATTCCTATTTTCTACCCTGTTTGTGATAACAAACAGGATATTCTGTATATCCTTATAAGGCAAGAGTGAAAAAAAAAAATGTATAAGGTTGAGTTACAATGAATAATACAGGTATACCTTTCCAGCTTACTGCTGATGGGGAATTACTCCTATCATCCATTGACTACTTGGAAATCACAGCTGCATTGCGCTGCTACTTAGGTTATAAGGTAGGAGGATGAATTTTTTAATTTCAGAGCCTTGCAAGTATTTGTTTAGGGTGTTACCATCATGAACACAGCTAAGCTAACTGCTTGACTTAGAACTGTATGAGGTATGGAAAAAGCTTGCTCTCAGGCTTGTCCTCCTGATGAGCCATCTAACAAGGCAAAGTCCCAGAGCACAGCTGCTTCAAATAAATAGTCTACTGCCTTGGTTTGCCCCAGAAACTGCAGATATGGGTTGTTTTGCTACAGGGTTTGTGAGCCTGGCTTTGCCCCTCCTCCTTTAGCTTGCCAGGCCATGGCTCCTCCTTCTTCTGCCAGGCTGCAGAGCAAAGCGGGTGGTTGCTCAAGGTGCACCAAAGCGGGTGGTTGCTCAAGGTGCACCAAAGCGGGTGGTTGCTCAAGGTGCACGTCTGCCTGACACACCATCTCCACCTTTATTCCATGGTCCCCAGGCTCATCAGAACACAACTCTGGAAAGCAAAAGCAGAAGGAATGACACGTGTTGGGGTCTGTTGAGCTTTAGAAGTCATGACTCTGCCTTTTGATTTAGTAGGACAAACTACATCCCAACACTGTGCTGCAGAATGACTCCTGTGAAGTAAGATGGCAAAAACCTACACCCCAACTGAAGAGGGACATGGTCATGATTGCTGACCCTCTGACACCGTGTGCTCTGCCAGCCCTGCTGCCCTCCTCGGGAAGGACTCCTGGCAGCAGGTGTCACTCAGCAGATGTCAGACACTGCAGCCCAGAGCACCGGGTCTCACCGTGAAGAACACGCAGCTCTCTTCCTCCCCGTCAGAACTGCCCTGGATGTGACACCACATCTGAAATGTGGGCACTTGGTCTGAATGGTACCTGTCTCCTACAAGACAGCTAAGAGACCCTGCTCAGAAAATAAGGGCTACAGAGAACACAACACAATCTACATTAGTCAGGTGGTAAGAGAAATAAACTCCCACCACAGACCACCTGGTTCTATGCCAACGGAGAGGAGCCTCAGTGCCACTGGGCAGCAGGCTCAGCAGTGGCACCAGTCACAAACCTCAGGCCACATCTGATGAGCATCTGGGAAAACCAAAGAAAGAAGCCCTGGCTTGTGTGCCAGGTTGTGCACTAAAACCTGAAGAAAGGTCAGCTAACCTCTCTGGAAAGGCCACCCTAATTCACCCTGTTTGTTAACATTCAGAGCAGTAAATTCCAAGATGTTATAAGGGCAATGGCTAGAGAACCACCACCCAAGGGGATGCTCCCAACTGCACCATGAACTGCCTGTTCCAGGTGTATCTGGATCGATGGGCTTTGAGTTGGCCATGAAATCAAGACCTTTACAGCATTCCACCTGTCTGCACAGCAGTGTGTGCTCTGACCTCCTCAGGCTCAGGTGCTTTTGGCTCCAGCTGCTCCTGCACTTGCTCCTCGGCCAGGGCTCTCCTGAGATCTTCTCCGTGCCTTGGAGTCTGAGGACAGTGATGTAGGATACTCTGGGCAGGTGGGAAGAAAAAAAAAAAAAATCCATCCCAGATTACTTTCTGTATGAAAGTGGTACTCCTTCTGCCCACAGGTAAAATGAAGATGATAGCCTCTCACCCCACAGACGTGCAGTTCAGGGCCCTGACCCCCAGGAGGGAGTCGTGGGCTCCATGCACCATGGGGGTGTTTGCTCCCCAGGCCTGTGCTGCACCCAGCTCCTAGGGACCTGCCCCACAGGGCCTTGCCCCAGCATCCTTCTCGGCTGCCGCGTAGGACAGAACAGCCACAGCCGAGCACAGGGCACCGGTGTGAGCACAGGGAACACAGGCTCCCCCTCTGTGCTCTCACCCTGGCACTGGAGGTTTCCGCCCCAACTCTTCCAGGGAGGAAGAGGCCTGTGTTTTGATGGCTTCCCAGCCCAGAAAGGCCGACCCTCCCACCCATACACAATGCCAAGGAGGAGAAATGTAGCCACTGCTTACTTTTGCCTGGCACTGAAGCAAAGCCTTGACGGTCAAGGCAGTTAACGTCACCGGCTAGAAAAGAGAACAAAGGCCAAGTGGGAGAAACTCCTCTGATGGTCCATGCTAGAAAGTAGAGTCACTGCCTTGACCCAGCTGGAACAACAAAGACACTTACAGATCCACTGAGGTCCAAGACTTTCATGAGTAGACCAATCAAGGGCAATGGGATTACCTGCATCTCCTGGGCTCTACTCCTTTGCCCATGCACAGAGAATGGACAAAGGAAGAGCTCTGTACCACTGAACCTGGCTTTGCTGTCTCCCCTGCAGCCCCTACAGCACCATTTACATCAGAAGAAATCCAGGCACAAAAGGAGCAAGTGGTGGCAGCAGGATTGGCTCAGTGTCACTTTACCAACAAATAAAGCTGAGTAAGTCGGCCAGCGCTGCCCCACAGCTGCCCCAGCAATGGGGGTACCTCTCCCCCAGCTCTCCAGCTCCCTTTCAGCTCAGCTGGAGCATCTCACTGAAGGCCACATTGGCGCCAGAGGTTTGGTACTGCAGTGGGGCTCACCTGAGGATGGCATCCAGCCAGAGCTCTTGCCTCTGGGGAAAAGAGCTCTTTCCTTCCTCCAGAGCTCTTCTCCGGGGCTGCAGCATAGGGCTGGCACCAGCTGGGGCTCTGCTGCGAAAAAAAGGCAGGGGTGACCCTGGAGTCCCACCCACATACCCGGTGCTGGGACAAGGCAACCTGTCCCTCCGCCCATCACCATCACGGGACCCAGAAAGCTGCACCGCCAGCCCTGTTGTGGACCTGAGCCGTCTCTTGACAGAGGAGTCTCTAACCAGCGGCCTAGAAAGAGGGCAAATTTCACAGAATTAAGCTGTGCTCAAGTTTTTGCAGGCAGTATGTTTTTTTGAGCTGCCTGGTGCTGCTGTTGCTGGGGAACACTCAAGACGCAGGCAGGGGGTAGAATGTGCGCAGCGAGAGAGCGATGGTTTGTGCAGCTGTTCAATGGGTTCGGCCTTTAAATGTGACCAGCCTGGTATGCCTGGTTCCTTTTTCCTTTTCAGACTGTATTTAGAGTTTACATCATACTTTTTAAAAAGCAAAACAAACAAGGAGACAAAGGGAAAAAAAAAAAAGAGCAATTTTTCTTCCCCCAGCTGGGCTTTTTTTCCCTGGTCCTGGCCACTTTGCAGCATGATGATTGGCACCAACATTAGTGCACAGGACTGGGCTCAGGGCAGGGCTTTTGTAGGCAGCACCTTCTTGAGGCTCCCAGTAATGCAGTTCAGGGGGAGCGCTCGAGAAATGGGGGCACTCACCCATAATTGCTCTTTCTGGTCTCTCCCCATTGCTGTCTGTCCGGATCCTTACCCCATTTTTTAGTTCCTCCCTCTCTTTCTTTAGCCCATCGCTATTTTGTCTTTCTCTTTCTTTCTCTGTCTGACTCCCTGTCTGCAGTTTCTCATTCCTCCTTGTCTGTCCTATAGCCTGTTGCTACTTTTTCATTTCTCCACACCTTCTTCTCCCTCTCCTCTTTTTTTCTGTCTCCATGTCCTGCTCTCCTGCAGCCTGGCCCCTCTCTCTTGCCTGTCTCCCCTGCTCAGCTGCCTGGGCCTTCTCTCTGGGCCTCTTTCCTGCTCGCCATCCCCTTCTGCTCTTCCTCCATCTCTATCCCAAAGGCCATCGCTGTTCTGTCCTTCTCTGCCCCTTGTCCTGACCCACACCCTGTTTCTCAGTCTCTAGGGACAGTTTCCATCTTCTCTTGCTCCGTGCTGTGCTCTGTCCCTGCCTCTCCCTCGCTTTTCCCTCTTACCCTTTCCCCTCCATCCCTCTCTTCTGCTCCCTGTCCCATGTCTCTGTCACTCCACTCTCCTGGTGCCTTCGCTGTCTCTCGCCCCCCGGCCCGCTCACTCGCCCTGCCTGTGTCTGTCCGTCCCTCTGTCCTCCTTCCTGCCCTTCTGCTCCCGCTGACCCTCCGTCCTGAGACTCATCACTCTCTTTCTTCCTGCACTCACTGTCCCCTTCCCCTCCACCCTCCTCCCGCTTTGCCCCTCTGCCCAGCTCCTCACCAGTATTTTTCCTTCCGCTACTCCCTGCCCAGCTCCCCCCATTCTCCTCGTCCCACTGCCCGTTTCTCATCCCTCTGCCCACCGCCCGTCCCTCTCCAGCCAGCCCAGTGCCCATCCCACCTCTCTCTTCTTCTTTTTCTTCTTCTTCTTGTCCTTCAACTCTTCCCCCATCTCTCCCCTGCTCCACCGGCCAGAGCAGCCCCGGGCGGTAGCCATGTGGCTGGGGGGCGGGGCGGGGCTGGGCCGGGGACGGTGTCCCCGCAGGGTC